CCTTCTTTCTCTTTTTTGGGGTGTGTACTCGATCTTTGATGCAAAGGAGTAAAGGAAGATGGCCAGATTTTCTTCTTTCAAGGTGTTACACAAAGGAGCCAGCATATAACTCTCTCCAACTTTGATTGACAACAAAGCAATCCAACCTTTCTTGAAGGTTATCCTCGCCATCTCTTCTGTTATTCCATGTGAACTACATATCCCACAAAACCAAGGTTGGACAATGCACATCTGTTCTGAGCCTCACGCAATATAGCAGCATAATTAAAATCGAAGTCAGCCCCCCCCCCCCCCCCCTTTCTTCTCAGAAGACCATAGCATCAAGTTGAAATCACCACCACAAATCCACGACACATCATCCCCTTTGTTTAACGAGTCAAGCAAAAATCCCGTTTTAAATTTATTCTCCTCTTTCGGGAAGCCATAAATTCCAGTAAATCTCCAAGGTGTGATTTCATCAATCTTTATCAAATTTTCAATATGATTTTTTGAGAAGGATTGTGTGGCAACCTCCCAATCTTCATTCCATAAAAAAGCCAGACCACCACTTCTTCTTCTACCTTTACCCTCACAACTAACTGCAATCATGTTACTATATTTTAGCTTGTTTCTAACTTTCTGCATTTCATGTTGACTGAGTTTTGTCTCTTGCAAGAAAATCAATCCGGGGTTTTCAGTGATAACAATGCGCCTTAACGCATTAACCGCGCGAGGGCTCCCCAACCCACGACAGTTCCAAACAAGGATGTGTCTCATTGATAACCGAAAGCCCATTTTGTGGGGCCCGCCACATCTTGAGTCAAGGTTACATCAATACTATCAACACTTAAAGCATTCTCAAAAGCTCTCTTTTTTAAGGTTCTACATTCATCATTCTCCATACTGTCGTCTAACTCCTCCCCCTTATTACTCCTTTTTCTAACAAGCCCACTAAGAGGCGTTTTTGAATCGCTTGAGGGTTTGTTATTTCTGGGAATTTTCCACCATTTTTTCTTCGTGATTTGAGAAGAGTCACCCACATTGCAGGGTGGCAGGTTTAGAGTTTTCACATCCAAACCAGGCGCATTTTGCTTCAGCAGAGAGTTTGAGGGATCTTTCCCTGTCACATTTGTAGTACTAGTATCGACAAGGGGATGAGCAGCAGCATCAAACATATCTTTTCCCTCTACCGCACTATTTGTTATTGAGCAATCAGACAACTTATCAAGGACCGTTACCAGCTGCTCCTTAGTCACTTCTCTAACTTTTGCCTTTGGTTTGGTAATGAACAAACCCTTAGCACAAGTTGCTTTTAGCTTCAAAACCTCGGTTTTGAAGCCTTTAGCCAACTCCCATAAGTGAGATTAGATTCCTCCTCCCCCTGAATCTCATCACAATCTTTCACTCCATGCCCTAATTTACCACAATGGAAGAAAAAAAGGGTCGGTTTTTCATACTTAACATCAAAAAAATCTTCCTCACGTCCATGCATTTTCACCTAGACCTTCTAAAGTAAGGGTTTAGACTTATCAGTCCCCATACATCCCGAGTTATCTAACTTCACAAATTTTCCAATTTTGTTGCCAATAACTTCAACATTTGCCACATTAAGTCTACCCTTAAAGGGTAGGTTGTAAACCCGAACCCATATTGCAATATCTTTCAAAATCACATCAGTTGGCTTTATTTTATCATCTATTTCACCCAAGATAAGGGTATATCTATCGAAATGCCATGGTTGTCCTTCAAGAACCCTCAATTTATCCCTCCAATGATAGAATTGAAAAACGAAAGAGTTTTTACCTATATTATATTGCTAATTTCCAAGCCATTTTGGGGCTGCCATATATTTTTCATCGTAGTCCTGAAAGCGTTGGTGTTTACATTGTGCTATGTCCAAATTCTTCCCACCAAAGCTAACTGTACTCCAACCTCGCATCCTCTTCATCCTCCTCCCCTTCCTTCCATTCAATAGCTTTTTCCTCGTCAGGGGCTTCATGCCTCTTTGGATTGTTGACATTAGTCTCTTCATTGGTTATTTCAGAATTATTTTGAATTTATTAACTCAATTGCGCTTCCTCTATGTTAATTATAGAGGGTTCGATTGCCATGGAAGAGGAACAGACAGACAAAACGGGAAAGAAAACGAGAAAAAAACAAAGAAAACCTTTATGAAAAAGGAAACCCTAGCAGAAGCTTAAACAAACCTTCCCAAGGAGCCTAGAGGGGGACCTTAATTATGAGATTTTATCTATGTGATTGAAACTTGCAAACATTAATTAAAGCAGCAATTGTATCGACAAGTTGAGTATTTGAGTGAGAGAATTTATGTTCTTTAAAAGTGTATCTTGCAAAATTATAAAAACTTAAATAAACCTGGTCCACAATAAATTATTGTGGACCCGGTATTATCACGTGACTCTAACTTTCTCTCCAACATCTTACTACTGCTTCCTGCCTTCCTCTATTCCCACCCAAAACGCATGCTTTTGATTTCTTTTCCCACTTTCCATTTTCTCTCTCTACACAATCAACACCGATTTTTCTGTAAAATTGCTCGAATTATTCTTCAATGGCAAGAACTAGAGGTGGTGGTACAGTTCAACCGAGAAGAGGCCTTCGTTCTTCAGCTACTCGACCACTTTCTGGTATAATTGTTGTTTATCATTTGATTTCTGCAATTTTGAGGTTATTCATTGTTGTTTTTCTTTAATTTATACTGTTTGTGTGATTTTTGTTTCGTATTGAAGATTATTGAAGATCTAGGGTTTTTCGATTTTTTTCATGATTTGTACTGTATTTATGCAATTTTGAGGTTATTCATTGTTGTTTTTCTTTAATTTAAACTATTTGCATGATTTTTATTTGAATTTTGGTTCGTATTGAAGATTATTGAAGATCTAGGGTTTTTCGATTTTTTTTTTTCATGATTTGCACTGTATTTCTGCAATTTTGAGGTTATTCATTGTTGTTTTTCTTTAATTTAAACTATTTGCATGATTTTTGTTTGAATTTTGATTCGTATTGAAGATTATTGAAGATCTAGGGTTTTTCGATTTTTTTTTTCATGATTTGTACTGTTTTTTTCGATTTTTCGAAGGTAATGTTTCAGATATTGTGTTTATATTATGGTACATACAAAAAAAGGGTTAATTAATTTAGTGATCGAATGGAGCATCATGTCAAAGGCAGTGTAACATCAGGTTTTTTTCTGTTTTTTTTTTCCTTTTTTCCCTTTCTTTTAGTTTGACATAAAAGAGAGCTGTTGAATAATGTTAATTCAATGTGTGTAGCTCTTTGCTCAACTCAATTTTATGTATAGGAATGATTTGAATAGAGAAGGAGGGATTCATATTGACGTATTCTGGAAGTGGTGGTTTGCTTGAGGGCTTGTTTTCAGCTTTCTGTATAGTTATTTAATCGCACAATTTCATACATATACTACAATTTAGTCAATAATGATGATTTTCTGAAATCTGGATTTTGCCTTTTTCCAATGATGTTTATATATGCATTGCTAATAATTATTTAGTTAAGTAACTTCAAGCACCACAAAGTATATGTGTTTGTGTCAATTCATGTTTCGCTGGGTGTAACTTCTTGTTGATGAATTTGGCCAATTAATTGGTGATTGCTCTAGTGTAGTTTGAGGTGCTATGAGAACTCTTTGTAGATTTTGTTTGATCATTTGTGTCATATCTTTTGAGCTCTATTACTCTTTGTTCCGAGAGAGCAAGATCCTTTTCTAGGCAAAAGCATTGTTAATTTGTGATTATTAGTGATGGAGTCTGTTAGTTTGGTAGTCTAACCTGCATAAGCTTCTTGACCCATTCTTTTTGGCAGTGGTTATGAAAGCCGTACGGTATACTTTGAATTCCTGAGGTATCTATATAGCAAGAAGATATGGTAACCAAACATCATGAATAGCCCTGGGATTACATCTAGCTTCTCCTTTTGCCACTTCATTTGTTCTCTTAATCTCGATCTCGAGTTCTTTTCTAATGAAATCCCTCTTAGTTCTCTTTTTATATATTTAAATAGAGTATAAGCAGCAGAGAAGTAACAGTGAAGGTTTAGTTGAAATTACTGCTATATAGGTTGATGTTTAATCTTGCATAAGTTGGATTTTCTAATTTTAGTAAAAAAAAAATATGGTCATGCAGAACATTACTTGCCAGAAGATTGATCCGTATGGAGCATTGGTGCCTTGGTTTCTCTGAGGTGAAAGACTTGATTCAGAAGGAATTAGATGTGCAGATTCAAGGTTCAACCATGTTATCAATGATATGGTTACCTCTATTTGTATATAGTTATCAATGATATAGTTTCCTTATTTTTATATATAGTGACCTTTGTGTAAAAGTCGTCAAAATTGATAAAGTTACCTTATTTTTATATATAGTGACCTAAGTGCAAGCGTCGTCAAAATTGATATTGTTACCTTATTTTTATATATAGTGACCTTTGTGTAAATGTCATCAAAATTGATAAAGTTACCTTATTCTTATATATAGTGACCTACGTGCAAGCGTCGTCAAAATTGTTATTGTTATCTTATTTTTATATATAGTGACCTCTGTGTAAATGTCGTCAAAATTTATATAATTTGATATAATTACCTTATTTTTGTATATAGTGACCTCTAGGTAAATGGGGTCAAATTTATATAACTTGCTTTGGCACGTGAGACCTTTGGTCCACAATAAAGTTTATTGTGGACCAGGTCCACCCAAGAATTATTGTTGCAAAATTTGTAAAACTTCTTAAAGAACTAATTTTGGCTATAACTATATTATTAATATACTGAATATAAATGTTACAGTGAAAAATCTTTGTTAAATCAATACAAATGGTTAAACTTGTGATTGAACATATATGTTAGTCATTTTAATCAAATTATTGCAATTATTTTGAAATGGTGGGAATATTCTATATTTTGCGCAAAATATAAACAAAATGTTAAAAAACAGGTATAAATATATAGAATGTGTGCTCCAATCTTTTGGATCACAGTGACTAAGTAGTGGAGAATTTTGTTTATTAATCCATGTTGCAATGGCCACAAATTGTAACACAAGTACACAACTACTCATGCCCAAAATTAACACAAAGTAGTGGAGTATCACTTTAAAACTTTAGCGACCCCACAAACCATACATTACTACAATCACAAGTTCACAACCGACTAAGATAAATAGACAAGAGTTAAAGGGGCAGGCAGATAGATATCCAACAATTGACATTGGCCATCATATACTAAAATGGAAGAATTATTTTTTGGTAACAATCAGCAATGTACTGTTTTGATCTGTAGTAATACATATATGAATATCTGTAATCATATACATCAGCGCCAAAAAGATCACTAGAACAACTGTTGATGTTGCTGACTTCGTTTCGCCTGCCTTCAGGCAAAAAACAATATGGTACTCTGTATATCCAAATTGTTATATTTTACGTTCCTGATGTCCTTCCTCAGACTTTGTCGAAATATTTGCATTATATAAATTTGATGTAAACCTCAAACTCAATCATTGTTTTTGAATCAAAACCTTATATTCGTCTGTAGCATAAGGTTATATTGCAATATTTTCCCAGGTAGACTTTGAGGAGCAGATGATACTTGGCTTTACCTGCCTTTCTTTGCAAACTTTGGATTCTTGCACATTCGGATACTTAATGGAGTGACCTCCACAAGTTCATCCTCCTGAATGTATTCTATACAGTCATCAAGACTGTAATCAATTGGTGTATCGAGAACCACTGTGTACAAAAATTGGAAAAAGGGGGCAAGGAGAGGATTTAAAAAGTTAGATGGTTAAATGACTAATAGATGCAAATGAGTCTAAAGACAGCAGTTATATAAAATATATGTTCTGAATGAATTAGTTCAGCATTTCTAATGTATTGTGGAATCTAATGATCCATTTGATTTATGAGGTCGAAGGAGAAAAAGAAAACGCTTGGAGTTTACCTGTCTGTTCTTTGTTTGAACGAACGTTTGTTGCTGCCTTCTTCTTGCACACGTTCAGTGATAGATCACCAGGTCTCTGATGGATACCAACAATCTGACCTTTGTAAACATCTACTCCAGGAGCAATAAACATCTTGCCTCTCTCTTGTGAACTAGCGAGGGCATAAGATGTACTAGTACCATCTTCAAATGCAACCTAGCTCAACACAAGTTAAACGGAGCTTATCAAACTGAATGAACACATGTTCGAGTCAAAACAAGTGCTGCTTTTCAAGGTTTCAGATGCTAAAGAGCTCTTTTGAATTCTAAAGCAATAAGATTAGCGTTCATTTAGATGCCATATATGCATTATCCAATGAATGAAAAACCAAAAGAAATTACCAGTGAACCCTGATCACGAGTACTGATTTCACCAGCCCAAGGTTCATAACCTTCAAATATTGTGTTCAGGATTGCAGTGCCCCGAGAAGCAGTTAAAATTGCATTTCGCAATCCCAAAAGACCACGGGTTGGTATTTTATATCTCAATACTGTTGTTCCTTCAGACCTGGGGTAAAAACAAAGTCGAAGATGAATGTCATTGCACATACTACTGAAAAAATTCAAGCAGCTAATATGAATAATGCAACAAAGTCAACAGCAACTTAAACTTCCTTCAAGCTATAACATCAAAACATTTGGCAAATATCATATCATAACTTTTTTTTTTTTTTTTTTTTTATGAGAAATTATCATATCATAACTGAACACTGGGTGTGCTTGCTAAAATAGAAGTCTTTCCACAAGAACATAATTCGTGCATTAACAGATAGGCTACAACTAGGAATGATTCTACAAGAATTTCAAAGTTTACCAATAGATAGTTTTGAAATTTAAACATCAACGTTAAGTATTGGAAACCGTAGAAATCAAAATCATGGAACTAAACAAAAATACAAAGGAACTAACTGTCAAGGAGTCATGTGATCACTAATCCATAGACAAGAATCACATGATAGTAGCAACAAAGTTAGAAATAGAAAATATCAGGATAACAGCAAAAAAGCAGTCACGTACCCAAAATTCTCCATATTAAACATCTGTCCACGTCTTTTACCCAAAAGTTCAACAACAGCACCCATATGTTCTTCTGGTACCTCCACTGTTGCAATCTACAGAATGAGTTTACAAAACTGTTTATTAGGCACTGAGTAGCATAACTTTTTGTCCACCATCACACAATTCATTTTATCCAAGAACCAGAGTGTACACAAGGCATATTCCTCTGCAAGGTAGGTGATGACTGACTTGCTTTTTAAAAATATAACAGCAAAATGTTTAGTGAATTCAAGCACATAACTTTATTAACTTGAAGTTCTTGATTTGACAAGTAAAGACATTCCTTAGTGCACTGATGCAACCCTTTCAGTTGCATCAGGAAGCAAAAAACTCAGAATTCATAGTAGGACAGCCCTGCTCAGTTTGGAGTGGTTCTAAGATGGGTGACAGAAAAGGTTTTCAAGAGTTGATTGATGGAGCAAAATGTGCTACAAAGAGTTGCATGTTTTTTGTGAGGTCAATTAAGTCCAGTATGTAACATTTGGCAATTAATTGCAGACCAATAAGAGATTTAGAAATTATAAATGGCATCAGAGACCCAAAACAGCAAGATATGCCTAAAAATGGGAGTGCCAAGGGAAAGGACAAATGATGTTGGAACATGGATTGATGATTGCCAATGGCAATAAGGAAATATAGACCAAAAGCAGGAGTGCACTTCAGTGACCTCACAGCAAGACCATAGTTAAAAAGTACTCAAAAGACTTGATGATACTAATGGGTCAGCAAGGGTTACTTTCCTCTTTTAAGTCCATATATTAGGATACTTTGCAGAACAGCGTGCTAAATCAAAAGTAGTTCTAGGATGGGTAGGTTCCAAGGAGATAGAGCTCAACCTCCCATGACACAAGGGGTGGTTTTTAACAATCAGAGAGTGGGTTCTTCGAAAATAAATACATGGATTTGTGCAGGGTTAATGTTACAGTTTGCTAAATTTAAAGCCTTTAATTCCAAAAATCAAAAGTGCATAATGCCTAGGAGCTTTCAAAACAATCAGTACCATCTCAGTAACTGCATACACTTCAATGCATATAAGAAAGGTCACAACAGAGCAACATGATTTAGAGAATTAGAGTATTATCACTGAATTAATGACATTCATCCATATTTTCTCAGAGACTAAAGCAAAACAAAATATGACAAGTCCTATGAAGCAGTGAACATAGCAAGGTATATGAGTACATATCCATAAGACCATATGTTATGACTTCAGCTGAGCAAATTTGACAACATTGTCTTTAGTTTCAAATAATGAAAATAACTCATATCATATTTAATAATTTTCTTCAGATTTGTACTTCTGTTTCCTTAATTTATAGCTTTGCAACTCTTTGCCGCTCATGTATTTCATTAACTGCTAGAAGGGAGGAAGGAAAACGAAAATAATAAAAAAAAGAGAACCAGAAACACAGGTGCTGGCAGCTGGATAATTACCTCAAAAGGTTCATGCAGCTTGTCATCCACCTTTTTGCTAATAACTTTGGGGGGACCAACCATGAACTCATATCCTTCTCTTCTCCTATAAAAAGGATTGTACAAGTCAAACAAGAGCTCTACTGCTTTAAAGTATGAAAAGAATAAAATAAAACACAAGTATCTTACATGTTTTCAATCAGTATGGTAATGTGCAGAGTTCCTCGCCCACTAACCATGAAAGTGTCAGAAGTTTCCCCATCTTCAACTTTCATTGCCAAGTTTCTCTCAAGCTCCCGATAGAGTCGATCCCTGAGGTTTCTACTAGTTACATATTTTCCCTAAGGAGGAAAAAAAAAGGTACTTTAATGCTGTAACCATTGCGAACATATTAAAAGATTAAGTCAATAAATATCAATTTAGTATGAGGTGGAAAAGACTCGTGAAAATTTCATTCCAGTCTGCAAAGAAAGTGTCAGTAACTTCCAATGTACTTAATCACAAATACATACCTCACGACCCACAAACGGAGAAGTGTTGATTGAGAATGACATCTTCACAGTTGGCTCCTCAACCTTTATTGCAGGCAAAGGTTTCCCAAAAGCTTTATCAGCAATCGTCTCTCCAATCTACAGAAAACATGGAAACTAGGATCAAGAAACAAATTATAAAAAGAGAGAAACTACATTCAACAATTCTGCAAGTCTCGTAAGTCATACTTGAAGTAAAATCCAGCAAACAAACGAAATCTCACCTGAATATCTGCAATTCCACAAACAGCACATATATCTCCTGCTTCTACAGAGTCCACAGGAGCCCTTAGGAATTTCTCATAAACAAAAAGCTCACTTACTCGTGCATATCTACATGAATCTTCTGACGTGCATACCTGAACACAAAAGTATTAGCTATGTTTTCCATACCTACTATTCTTTCCCTAAGGCAATACTCAAACAATTGTGGGATAACAATGTAAAATGATACCCAATCTTGCAAGTCTTACCTTGACATCCTTTCCCCTTTCAAGAGCACCTGCGTGCAAGCGTCCAATTGCAATTCTCCCTTTGTGCTCATCGTACTCTATATTTGTAACCTATTCATGTCAGGAAGATATATACTGTTAAGTTGGGAGGGTACAAAGAAGAAGAAGATGAACAAAAAAAAAAAAAAAAAAAAAAAAACCAAAGATGTGAGAATAACAGATAAATTAAGGAAAGAGGAAATGAAAGGATAACAAAATTACTACCCACTAAAGAACATTCCCCTGAAGGACATTACTGCTGGACAAATCAAAGAAGAAAAGAATAATGTATAAGCTGCAATTGAATGTTTCTATGAAATGAGATGCTTCATACTATATATTTATGTAAACTAAGTTCTTCCCAGAGGTAATTTTTTGACTGAAAGGTGAAGAACACCAACAAACTCTAATCCTAAAGATCATAATCACTTCCCCCTAACAACCAGCTATACTCTTTTGATGGAGTTGGTCTTACTATCACCAGATCATAAAAAAGAGCAATATGAATACAATGCCAGAACCAGATGTAAGGAACAACCACTAACAAGCATTTGTAAGGCACCATCTTTTTCAATACGTGGCCCAGGGATGCATCGGATAACAGACTCAAAAAGGGGTCCCAAATCATCTGCCAATTTGTCAGAAGAGAGTCCAGCCTTCCCCTTGATGCCACTTGCATATACTACTTGGAAATCACACTACAAATTAACAGTAAGAAAAACATGAAGTTAGTCTCAGGATAATACAAGATGATAAATTGTAAAATCACTGCAGTCAATAGCAGAATTGACCAGACTCTACGCATTTGTAGAAGTACTGGGTCTTAAATCTAGCTTATTTAGCCTTAGTCATGTATTTAATCATAGTTACTGACTTACTGGGAAAATAAATAAAAAATTAAATTAATAAATAGGCAACTTTTCTTTTAAGGAGCAATATAATCAATGGTTCACAAGTTTATCACTAGAAGCCATAGAAACAACAACAATGTCATGATCCAAATAAAACTAAGAGATCTCTTTCTGAGTAGGTTAAGGGTCAGATCAGTCAAATGTGTGCAGCCAAATCTCTACAATTACAAATAGGGCTTCCAGTTGACCCTTAGTCCAATACAGGAGAAGACGACACACTACACCATAAATATATACAGAAAGGCAACTAATATCTAAGAAAACTAACCTGTTCATCTGTTGCATTTAATTCGATGAAAAGTTCAAATGTAGAATTGATGACGTAATCAGGACGAGCAGATGGTCTATCTATTTTATTAACCACCACCACTACAGCATGTCCAAATTCTAAAGCCTTCTTCAGAACAAACCTTGTTTGTGGCATCGGACCCTCAACAGAGTCCACCTAAATAAGAAGTGAGAAGTACAACAGTTAAAAATAACTCTGCATAACAGATATCTTCTCTGTGGCATAGGACCCTTAATAGAATCCATTAAAAAAAAAAAAAAAAAAAACTTCCTCCATTTTTCTTAGTTGACAAGTTTTGACTTTTGCCATTATTCAAAAATTCTACTTTGATGAGTTTTAGTGATTTATAGTTATGATAAAACATAATCAAGTGGGAACTTGTTAGAACTGTTTCAGTGTATATTTTCACGATATCAAATTTTAACAATGATAATAGAGATATTAGTCGTTGAATTTGTGCATTGACAAACATGATAAAAGAAACATGTCAACTAAAAAAGAACGGAGGAAGTAAGTGAAAAGTGCAACAGTTAAAGTAACTCTACATAACAGACATTACATAAATACATATTTTGTCACATAAATTTAGGATGTACAGGGATTCAAGGAACATTATACTCATTGAAAAATCAGAGCTGCTTGGATATTCATTTACTTATATCAGATATTTGAGTCATCAAGATGATGAGGTAAAGTAAAAGACTGATTAACAAGAATGGTTGACTTGCACTTACAAGATCATAAATTAATAATTATGAAGTAAAATTTTCTAGTACCTCTCTGTCTCTCACTGCTTCTCACCAGACCCCTGCCTAATGCAAGGCATGAGAGATTATGTGTATACAGCCTCAATTACTTTTACAATTTCAAATATCCTATTTTTAATAAGACTGATAATGATGATTGAAAGCAATTACAGATAAGATAGAGACATACAAACATAATTGTACATAAGGAACATGTGAGCACTGAGTATCAATTGAGGGGATAGATAGGGAAGAGCATGTGAATCTTCCACTTACAGTTTCGCATACCCCTTCTGTTGGTCAGAGCTCAGAAGTGTACTGACTAATTCTGATCTAAAGTTTAATCAACGGAGCAGAAACATCAATTTTAAAATTTTCTTTTACAATGATAAGTTTTTAACAATGGCAATTTGATCATTACATCAAACTTTTGACAAAGTTGACTGATCCTATATAATATAAAAAAGATTGAATGATAGATATGTTTCAAAGAAGTATATTTGTTAGATGTGGGGCACAAAGTCATAAACAGGAAAACCTTGCAAAAGATGGGGTATGCAAAGAGTCAAGCAACAATTTCACCAAATTATTCAGCCATTATCTCAATGTTCTTGTGAGCAATGCATGGCTGACAATTTCATAACAACACATAGTAAATCAAATATTTGGGAATTTTATACAAAAGGTACGCATTAGTGTTGCCAGAAGCTTTATACAGTTTGTTACACGGAAGAAAACACAATAACTCCACAAGTGTAAAATTCAACAATTGTAACACGTATTATGTTATAGAATGCACATTCCAGATCATGGTTCGCAGAGGGGGTTGGGTGACCATATTAGGTAACGCTAAAGCAATCAAATACATGTCATTATAAAAGGCATATGAGATTTACCACTAAAAGAACACCTTCAACCATATTCAATATGCGTTCTACTTCACCTCCAAAATCAGAATGCCCTGGAGTATCTATGATGTTGATTTTGGTATCTTTATATGCAATTGAAGTGTTTTTACTGAGAATGGTGATTCCCCTTTCACGTTCAAGATCATTAGAGTCCATTATGCGCTCTTGTACAAACTGGTTGTCACGGAACACCTGGATATGATAGTAAGCAGAGTGCATAAGAAAAGTGATTGAAGCAATTATAGGACACAAAGCCAAATTAATTGAAATGGATACTCTTTAGCTTATTTTCATTCTCACCTTTGCTTGTTTCAGCATAGAGTCAACTAAAGTTGTCTTCCCATGATCTACATGAGCAACAATAGCTATGTTCCTAATGTCGTTTCTTCTCATCAACTGGCCCTTTTTCTCTAGAAAAGCATCATGACAAAAAGCATTGGAAACTTGAATAACAACAGTTGCCACAAATACAAAAGTGCTTATGGAAGAATTTAGCACACAACATTACAAATATACAATACAAGCATAACACGTGCAACCAAATAATTGATGTGGCATTTATATATATTGATTAAAATTCAAAATTGCACATTAATCCTTAGCATATGTGAACCTTTGTCAACCATCTTTTTTAGTCACAAACCGTGAACAACATAGTATGGTTCGTGTTATAACATATTAACATGAACTCAATAACTACAGTGTCAACTTAACAAAGTTGAATAACTTTTTCCCTCCGTCAAGGAAAGATGCATAAACATCAAAGATACAAAGTATATAGCCGTGAATTCAATGCCATACTATAGTGCAAGATCACATTCACTATCCATTCTAAAATCAAAAGTATACACTTAAATTTAATTAGTAAAGCAACAAGCATTCAATCAACATTCTCTAACCAATATTATACGGAGTACACTTTAAATACTTCAAAAACAGCAATAATTAGCTAATTACCTTTCTAAAATCAAAATTACACACTATACACTAATAAAGCAATAATCAGTTTATCATCAATATAATATCATACTTATTCAATATAATAAATTTAAAAAACATTCTGTAACCAAAATTATACACTTCAAATTACTTCAAAAACAGCAATAATCAGCTAATCACCTCTTTAAATCAAAATTACACACAATAAATTAATAAAGCAATAATCAGTTCATCATCAATCTAACATCAAACTTATTCACTCTAATAACTCCAAAACAGCACAATTATTAAACTCAAAACTTCAAAATTAATCAAAATTGATAAGAAATGAGTTACCAGAAGGTGTAGAAGCAGTTTCAGCAACAGAGCACCGAACAGAACCTCCATTAGAACGCTGTAAAACATGAGAAACCGATGATTTCTTCGACAAAGAAGACGAAGATAAAGCGCTGGAATTAAGCAATTGGTTAGACAATTTAGATGATAATGAAGCAATCTTCGCAGCAGTCTTGGTCGAAGAACTAGGGTTTCTAGAGAGAGAAAATGCGAGAGAATTGTGATTACAGATAGTAATTGCAGACTCCATTATTGTTCTTCTTCCTACAATTCTCTCTTTCTCTCTCCTATTTGCGAAGGTATATTATGGAGAGATAGAGTGAGAGAGTTGAAGGAGAAGAATGAAAGGAGGGAAATGAAAAGAGGGAAATGAGTTGGGTTTTTATGTTGCGTTATCCATTTTTTTTGTGTGTTGGTGGCGGCTATGATTCGAACTTGTGGCCGTTTGGTACTCCACTAATTACGTGGACAATAGCTAGCTACGGAGTACGATGGTGTATTCCTTGATTCGCCAAATTTTGTATGAGACAGTCTCATATGTTGGTATACAATACTAATTGCTATTTCATACGAAGTATAGTATAAATTAGTAGAAGAAGTCATTATCGAGGATAGCATCGAAACCCTCATCAAGGCATATATCATATAGAGGTGATCATTAGTCGGGTTGGGCCAAACTCCGGGTTGAAAAGTTCATGCCCAAACCCGCCCAAAATTTTCGAGTCGTGCGGTCTTTTCAGGTCGAGCAAAAAAAAAAACTAAGATTGGCAATCCCTGACCCGATCCAAACCCGACCCGAGGTTACTAAAAGAAACCCGAACTCGACCCAAACCGAACAACCCGAATTCGACCTGTCGAGAGACTAATTGGGCTTCTAATTGTATTGCTAATGTAGGCCATTAGGTATTTGGTAGTATGTATATTGATATTTGTAATAAATCAAATTTATTTAATAATTAATATTCTTTCTCATGATACATTAAAAATTCCCCTTAAAGAGGAATCCTAATAAAAAAAAAGTTAAATTAAAAAGAACTCAAATTATAAATCTAAATTAGCAATTCTCTAAGTGGTCACATATTTCTAGTGACTTACAAAAATGATCTAGTGAACCCATTCTAACTTTATAAGGCCAAATCAAGTGGATAGTTGTAAACTTGTAACTTGTAAGCCAATATAGACAATCTGGGCCTCTGGGCCCATAAAAACTTGTCCCAAGCCCAATAATACTGTTCAAGACAAAGCAGGCAAAATTCAATACTCAAAAATCACAATAGAAAATAGATGTCTTCCATAATTATAAATTTAATCTCCAAATGTCATCATAATTTTCATAAACAAACCAGTAAACTATATGATAATTCTGCTAAACATTAGATGTAGACGAATAAGAAAATGCTAATTACATTCTTTCATAAGCAAATATTATTTGTCATTGAGAATGTAATCCCTTAAGCTTTGTTTTGCAAGGCCACAGTCTTTTCCCAAGCTGGCCTAGCCAAGATATCCTTGCACCAAGCACTAACATACAGGCTGTCATCGAAAATCTTTTTCACTTGAGTGCCCATTAACATATGCAATTGAGGCAAGTGATGAAGATCAGCCAAGGTGAATGATCCTAACACAATCTCTATGATTCACAAGTACAATCATTATGATTCACAAATTAAAATCAAACAGGATTTGATAATAATATTGATATCAAGAGAGATTATGTTGATATCTCTAATTAATATGGAGTAGTCAAAGGTAATGATTTAGGCAATATAAGATGAGAAGGTATAAGTCATACTTCCTCTGTATTTTATTACTTGATCCATTATTTCATGCGCGGAATTTTAGAAGATATGGTAAAAGTCATAAAATATGAAGAAAGTGGAGTTAGTAGAAGAATAAAGTATGATAGTTAGCTTAGAGAGAATATGGAAATATGAAATAATGATAATTGGAGATCTAGTAGAGAGAAGAAATAATAAAATATTGTAAAATATTTCCAAAAAAAGAAATAAAACAAGTACGGATGAACAAAATACGATTGCAAAACGACAAAAGGAAAGTGAAGCAAGTAATAAAATACAGGGGGAATACCAATTACGTTAGAAGTGCTCACTAACTTATGGTACCCTGTCTTGTAATACAATTACTAACTTTTTTGTGTTTTTTTTTCTATAAAAATAATGCTATTTGGTCACTAATTTATAATGTTTACAACTTGCAAATAAAACAAACTAATAGTGATTGTCTAACAAATTCAATACATGTATTTTCAAGGAAAAATTAAAAATAATAATCCCAACTTTTATGAATTTTGCTAGAATAATAGTCCCAATTTTGGATTATTCTGGAATAATCCGAATTGAGGGGTCTTTTGTTTCTTCAATCCCAAATACCGATTAACGGTTGAATGGGTTATATTTTTTTTTTGTTAAAGTGACACTTATCGTAAATTAATAGGTCAAAAATTTAATTATAATAAAAAAAATCATTGAATCCGACCACCAACCACGGACGTCGGCTACCATCCATGAAATCCGGCCAGCCATGTAACCCGACCACCAACCACGAAATTCAGCCACTATCCACGATATCCGGCCACCACGCAAGAAATCTGGCCCCAACCACGAAATCTGCCAAACATAACCCCTTTCATTTTCTCTTTCCTCTCAATTCCCCCAACTACGAACTCCGGTCGGCGTACCGGTCACAAAATTCACTTGAAACCCCTCCCCTAATCCCCGAAAACACCTAATACCTAACCCACCCCTGAATTTGCAAAACTCCTTTGAATTTGCGATTTGGGGTGTCGGTGGCTGCGATTTTGGGGTTTCGATGGCAGCGTTTTGGGGTTTTGGTGGTTGCGTGGGGGAATAGGAAGGGGTTTCAGGGAAGGGGTAAACAACGACGCAAGGGGTGGGGGATAGGCGGTGGTCCAACGAGGGGAGAGGTGGTGGTTTAGCTGTGGTTGTGGAGGTAAGGGTGCACGGTGGGGGAAGGGGAAACTGGCTGATTTTTTTGTTTTTATTTTAATTTTTTTTTTTACCTTTTCTGGACTTAACACGTGTCAAGTGGCCTGATATTATAGTCATTGATTTTTTGTTGACCGGTTAGGGATTGAAGAAAATCAACGTCCTCAAAGTTCGGAGTATTCGAGAATAATCTAAAGTTGAGATTATTATTTCTAATTTTTCCTATTTATATTTGTAATTTTAATATTTATTACTTAAAAAATAAGTTAGAACTGGTGTATTATTTGAATTAAGTGATAGTTTTATCATGTTAATTACAAGGTACCATATAGTTTTCGAGTCCAAAAAATTGAGAACATGAACCAGATGCTGTAGTAATATAATAGTTTCTCCATTTTGTTACCAAAAACCGGAATCTCTTGTATAGATTTTCTAGAATTTGCGGTTCCTAATTTTTGTTTCGAATCAAGGTACCCTGATTTTTTCTCAGGCCTCTAGAGCATAATACAAAGAATATTGTGCCCAAAAAAATACTTCAATTATTGCGGTTTATGAAATTTTGGTACTCCCTCCTTCCTCAGCAACTATTTCGAATGAGAAACGGTCACCAATATTATGAGACAAATGAAGCAATATATATTCGAAGTACTTCGTAGTACATTATATGTCTTCATCATATGGTAAAAGTAGCTTACAAAATTACAAGTCATACAAGTAGTTTTTCAAATTAGACATATGAGCAGTAAAAAGAGTAATGTCCAGTAAAAAACTACCATCCCTATTAGGATTTGGAAGCAAGTAGGTATAGCTCTCACCTTTGAGTGCAACATAACCTACAAACAATGGCTTACCCCATCCAAAATCTGCTTCATATAATGGTAACCTACCAAAAGAATTCATTAAAAGGTTTGGACATGTAATAGCCTTCCCCTCACGAAAAGGAGCCATTACATCTGGTTGCGATTCTAGGTAATCAATGGAAGATCTCCAATACTCCGAATCTTCCATTCTTTTTAGTGCTTCGTGAACCATTTTGGCTACATACCACAATGGTGTACAAGTGACTTCTTCTGCTTTGGCAATGCATACCGTCTTCATGATTACATTTCCAAAGTACCCTTCTGGTATGGTTGGATCCTTTAGCCTTGAACGTCCTTCAGTTACGAGATAGAGCTTCACGCATTGATAACCGGTTAAGCCACGAGCCTACTGACAAATTAGAGAGAAATAAAATAGAATGGCTTGATTATTATTCATCAATAGGTTGAGTATTTATACAAAACCTAAGCTCATAAGATAGGAAAAAATCTTCCTAAAAGATATACTTCTAACCATAAACCCTAAAGATATATTCTCAAAATAATATCTTAACATAAATATCCTAATTAAATATATTATTCTCTTAAATGATATCTACGGAAAATATATCACACATATATTTTCCGATATCTCTAACACTTACAAGTGCTCCGCCACACATGCCCGGTTAACACTTCAAATGTGCTTGCTTTGTAGCTTTCTATTTCAGGGGATATTGCTTGTGCCTTTAATGCATCAATTTGATGTTTAGTGAATTTAAAGAGACCGTCAGTTGTAGCAGCGATTTCACCTGTGATATAGATAGTAGCATTTGAATTATAACACTCATAGTTATACATACATTTACAAATCATTTCATCTACTACATCCGTTTCTGAAAGTTTGACTCACTTACTATTAAGGGTTTTTTGCCACATTTTTAATATAATGACCTTACTCACATAATCGACTACTTAAAATGATGACAAAAATTCCATAAAGAAAAAAAACAAATAACTAGATTACCTGATGATAAACCTTTGGGCGGTAAGGGTGGCAAAGGTGGCTCAAAATGTACATGGTTGAACTTGATCTGAGGCGGGTCACGAGGGTTCAAGTAGACAGACCTTTCATGAACAGGTAAAACCGCGAGGTTATCTCCTCGGGCGAGCGACGCCCATGAGTTAAAGAAGTAAGTGTGCCCTATTCCATCAGCAACAAAATGATGTGTAACATAGGCAAGACATACAGCATCGCATTTAAAGCGAGTGAGTCGTGTTAATAACAGCGGGAATGACGAGAGCCCACCCGTATAGTCACATGTAGGCAACACCAACTCACGAAGTTCCGGGTTGGGCTTAATAAACTCTCCGTAATGAGCAAGCGGATATGCTGCTTCGGCCTCTTCGAATAACACTCCTGCACCATTGCAATCGATCTCGATTCGACCATTCTTCTCATTCTTAATTAACCGGCCTGCTACCGGATAGAATGGTACTAGTATTTCGCTTAGAGACTCTTTTATAACATTTGTGTCTAATAACAGTTTTGAGTTGGTGTTATTATTGTTGTCGGTTTTCGAGTCGGTTCCGATGGCCGGATTAGAATGGATTCTTTCACGATGAGGCTCATTATTTGTGATGGGAGGAGTAGACAGTAGAGAGTGGTAGGTGATGCTTCATTCATGGGTCTCTTCCTCTTATATAGAAATTAGTGACTACGATATGTAGGATTTCATTAGGTTACAACAACCTTTTGTTGGTGTATTGCTTCAAATTAGTCAAATAAATTAGTTATAGTTTGTAGTTGTGGGTTTAAATGTGGCTACAAATTAGGAGTTAATGTGATTAGTATTGTTGAGTTGTATTCGTTAGTTGAGTATAGTTAGGCATTTTGTGAATCATGTGATCATGCTCCCCTTGTATAGCTTTAGGTTATTATTTTCATTGGCTATATAATGACTTGTATTACCGTTAATTAGTATAGAGAAATCAATGCAATTAATAAAATATTTATCTCTCATCTCTCTCTTTAGTTTCTAACATGGTATCAAGAGCTTCAGGTTAGATCCGGGAAGGGAGAGAGACGAAGAAGAAGAAAAAAAAAAGAAAAAGGGAGCGAGAGAGTGAGTGAATTAAAAAAAAATTGAGTTAAAGAGACAAGTAACGCAGCTTGATCTCATTGTTTGTGAGCAATAAGTTTTTTGATTGGGTGTTTTTGTGTTTAACCATGGAAGGAATGGTTGATTTGGTGTGTTAATGGGTTCCCTTTTAGCCCATAAAATTGGATTTAATAATCCTGTGAAAAAGTGGGCAAAAAAATTGTTTTAAGGTAAAGATAGAGTAATCTTTACATGTGTGGATGAATGTTAGATAAATAGCAATCTGATTAGAGTGGAAGTCGTAATCAACGCAGAGACGGTTTCCAAGATAATACCAAATATTTTTTGGCATGATGCAAGATGACATGGTCAATTGGAGGACAATGTCAAAAAGAGTTAATGGAGAGATGTGCTCCATTAAATGTAAGATGATGACAATGTGCACCAGCAAAATTGTGTACGTGATGAGATGTGCATCTCACATTACAACGTCTAGCAAGATGTCGTGGAATTTGAAGAGGGAAAGAGCAAGCTCTTCTAAAGTTGAGTGTGCGATTAAGTGTTTGTGTTGATATCAAAGTATGTCGAGTTCAAGTTGTGATTGCATGTTGGTGGTCGTGGTTCCGTAACAAAGTGAATTATTGAAGTAGTTTACGTTGTAGTATAATGCATGATGCATGCTCTTTGAAGCAAGGGGGTGTGTTGGTGTATTGCTTCAAATTAGTCAAATAAATTAGTTATAGTTTGTAGTTGTGGGTTTAAACGTGGCTACAAATTAGGAGTTAATGATTAATATTGTTGAGTTGAATCCGTTAGTGGAGTATAGTTAGGCATTTTGTGAATCATGTGATCATGCTCCCCTTGTATAGCTTTAGGTTGTTATTTTCATTGGCTATATATATGACTTGTATTACCGTTAATTAGTGTAGAGAAATCAATGCAATTAATAAAATATTTATCTCTCATCTCTCTCTTTAGTTTCTAACACCTTTCAATTAATGATGTACAATCCCATACGAATTTCGTTTTTTTTTTTTAAACATCCCATACGAATTTCTCATTGGCTGATTTTGATTTATTTATTTAATATAAAATTAATATTCAATCATTAATCTAATTTTTAAAATTCATTTATTAATTTTGAAAGATTTCTTGTTTAATAATTTTCAAAATTCACTTTTTATTATTACTAAAATTAAAGAAATAATTCATAACATAATCATAAAAATATAAATAAAATAAAAATACATTGTAGAAATATGTTTTTGTTTCGGATGAAAACAATGGGACCTTGCCGAAGGTCCGCTGAAACGGAGAAGGCTGGATTCGGTCCAAGTTATGTTGGGCCGAAGGTTTCCTGCACAGTAAACACACGTAAACTAGCCTCGGGGGTGTTGCCGAGGAAGGCCCCTCCGATGCTAAAGTCAGTACAATGTGTAGGAAGAGGACACTATGCAAGAGAGTTTGTTGCTTGAGGCTTTGATGGAATATATGAGAATATATGAATGAACATCCTAAATGTATCAATATTGATGGCTTTTATACCTCATCATACATGGAGAGGTTGAGCCTTAGCCCAATTGGCTTGCTTTGTGGGCTGACCTTTGACTTTAGCACAATTGGAGAGTTGAACCTTGACCTTGGGCTTTTAATTGGATCATTTAATGCCTAGGCCCAATTGGACTAAATTGGACCCAAACAACTTGCCCCCCAGACCCGATTTGGAAGGATGATGGGTCGGGTTTGATTTAATTCAGAAAAGGAGGGAAGTAAATGATTTAATTAATCCAAAAATTTGAATTTAAACCGTAATTAATGAGATAACAACGGTTAAGGTGGATGATTGTGGAAGTTGGACGGATAATGGGCAGTTTAATCACAAGATCATGTGTTTAACGGTTACTTAGTGGAGTATTTAAGAGAAATTGAAACGCAGACTCCTCGTATCCCATTCCTGGAGATATAAACAGAGGCGCGTCATCTCTCCTCACTTATTCACCAACACAAACCCAGAATTCTCGAGAGAGAAACCAAGAACCCGCATCAAAACTTCGCAAATTCCCCGAGCATTAAGCTTAGAAACTGAGACTTGCCACTACGAACTCGTAAATCGGCAACTTTCGCTTCAGATTAAGGTAAATTCCTTTGATTTCAGTTTATTTTTCTTCGAATTCGAACTCCTTCCCCTTTTCTTTCGACTTTTTTCTTCGAAATAATCAATGGCAAGAGGAGTTAGAGGTAGAGCCCGTGCTCCAAGAAGAGCAAGGCCGATTCCCGATCCTAGGAACAGGATTGGGACCTGGAATGGACAAAGGCCAGAGTCTGACCCTGCTGAAGGGATTAGGGCGACTCCCCTTTCCTCGGCTCCTCCTCAGAGAACGGAGGGGCCGAGCGCTTCTGGACGGGATGATGAAGTTCCCGCTGTCCTTTGGGATATCCTCCCCGGGTTTTCAGAATGGGAGAATGCCGAAGTTGCTTCGGCCATGATAAAGAACCGCCCCTACTCATGGTGGGTGGAGAATGCCGATCAATATCGATTTGCCGAGCAAATTGAGTTGCATTACGGCATTTTTGAAGCTGATGGGTATTGGTGCCGAATGCCCTCGGCATCCGATAGAATCCATCGTCCACCCCCGGGGTATGTGGGGGTGTACACAAGACAGCTTCAGTACGGGCTGAGGTTCCCTTTGGACGTATTCGTCCGAGACTTGCTGATCCATTACAACATCTCTCTATGTCAGTTAACTCCCACCAGCATCCGAAGGGTGATGACATACTTATGGGTCTGCAAGTTCTTCAAGTATGTGCCGAACCTGCACTGCTTCAAAAAGCTCCATCGGCTAGTGCCAAATATTCAAAGTGGGCACGGAAGCCATGGTTCTGGGTGGTACCGGATTGAGTCTCGGCCCCAATACCTAACCATGTGGCCAAACGACTCTTTAGACAAGGACTGGAGAGGTCAATGGATTTGGGTTAGGGCACCCACAGATCCGGGCCACCCTTGCGTCTTCAGCGCTCCCCGGTACCTCGCTGAGCCTGATCCCGAAATGGGAAGTCTAGGTCCCCCCGCAGATAACGGGGCGGATCCGAACCTTGATCAGCAACATATCTTCGGCAAGCTGCCGAACCGGGGGGGCAGTGGCCGAATGCAGCATATCCCGGAGACTTGGCTCCCCGATACGCATTACGTTTTCCAAGA